GAGAGGGGGGACATCTGTAATACTTTCAACAATAAAGATAAAATTAAAAAAATAACTTAAATTTAACATCCTTAAAACTAAGCTCCTAATTTATTCCCCAACTCCCAATAAATAAAACCTATTCTTCTTACCCTGCTCGGCAAATGCTGATGTTACGCTTGGTCTTGGGTCAAAAAAACTTTACCTTTCTCTCTTTCAAAGGCTCCTTCCGTTTATTTATTCCGCTCGCCCAGCCTGTCGCGCCTTCCAGATGCATCCCATGGGTCGGGCCTCCCCTCCTGACCCCTGCTGCTGTCCTCGCCCCCATCGCCTCCCGCCTCCTCTTGCCGCAGCGTCTGTAAAAGCATCGCGGGGAAGGCTTGTTCTCTCTTTGAGGCTCCTGTGCTTGTTTCCTCTGCCCGGATTACATTTTCTCTGCTCAGCTCTACAGTTTCTCCTCTTATTATCTTTGCCTTTTCCAATGTTCCGTCTCAACAATTGCAGGCATACTTCTACCCCGACAGCAGCTTCTCCCCCTTTTCACTGATTTGCTCTTATCCAAAACCCTTAGCGTTACCTGTTAGATGCTTAAATTATTTATTAATTGTTGATGTCCATCCAACAGAATATGAGTTGCCCGAGGACAGAAGTTTTTGTCTTTTATTGTTGTATCTCCTGTGCCTAGAACGACACTGGCCCTTTGAATTCACCTCTGCGTTTTCTGGAAGTCAGGCGAAAATAGGAAATAGGGCCTATTGTATAATTCTCATTCCCACGTATAAGGATGCCTGTAAATCCTTAGAAAGACCAAGTGTTGCCTTACACTAAACTATAGGAGAAATGCACACGGTGGATCTTGTAAAGTATGTAGCGAATAACACGAAGAATGGCGCCTTAGTAATTTCAGCAGTAACTCCAGTGATGTTATTCCTATACTTTTTATTGTAAAAGTGTGTAATTGCCGAGGGCATAACGTGAAAGGTATGTATCCAAAAAATTGAAGTCATCTCTATTTAAGACGACTTGAAATGTTTTTTGTAGAGGTGGCGGTTTCCACCGTGATTAATACTTCACCCGGCGTAACGTGAAGCTACGCATGACATCACATTTGACTGTTCCACCTTGGTTCCAGCATCATCCATGGAAAATGAAAATTGTTTACACCTGCATTCTTTTTTATCAGTTGTTAATGGGAGTCATTTCTGTAGAGCGATGTCTTCTGTAGAGCGATGTCTACCGCAGAGTCATTGTAAAATTGCTCAAAGTAAAAACTGCCACAATAATAAAGGAACAAGTAAAGTCATTATAACATATGACGAACTCTTATTTAACTATTAAAATTCATGTTTTCAAAGACTTTTGCTTTTACTAAAGTAAGAAATCAAAATGTCTGACTGTATCTTTCCGGTTTCAAAATTTTAACTGGAATAAAATGCACCAAAATGTTTTGTACTTTTGTCTAATTAGAAGATTATAAATGACTTTTTTTTTTTTTAATATTCCTTCTCCTGTGCAGTTTCCAGAATGCCTACAGTATTTGTAGAATTTTTATGACAACAGACGTAGTAAATATCACTTTTAAAGAATTAGGACTTCTTCTGTGTCTGTATTTTGCTTTTTGTTGGTTAATGATGATGATATATAATTTGCTAGTCTTACATAGGCCACTAATAATTAATGATAATCATTTTTAATACTGATATGCAACGTGCTTTTAATATGTTTACCAAACAGTTTGTGAAACTCCATATCTGGACTGTATTCTTGTCCCCACAGACAGCCTTCTGATCGATTACCAGTTCACCTTCAGTTTGTTGCAGGAAGACGATCGCCACCACACTGCCATCAACTTCATAGCAAACCCCGAACAGGTGAGGAGACCACTTAGCTTTTGTAAAATCATTATATTTATAGCAAGGGATACAAGTGTTTTGTCTTCTTTGATTGCAGTTTTACTGCTTAGAATTATCACACTGTAGGGGTTTTGTAGAAAGATCAATCTTAATAAATTTTTCTTTTCATAAATTTAGGTTTCCTTGTAATTCAGAGAATTTGTGAGTTTGATATTTCAGATATTGCAAAGAGTCCTACAATTGTATATTATTTCTATTATATTTTTATGCTTACGATAGTGTTCATGTTTATAATTTTGCTCTCAAGGTATGAGTAATCTTATTTGAAAATAGAGCCCATACATTCAAAACCTGCCATATTAAATATATATTTTTATCCTTATATACTTGCACAGTAGTAGGTTTTCATTGTTTTTTTTCTAAATCTACTGGTTTACCTGACTTATTTTCTTGGACTAGTTCGGATCCTCAGATGCTCTCTGCAGCATTAATGAGCCCTGCTCTGAAAAACCTGTATGACAGTCATTCAACCCTATTATCATACATTTAATTCTGCTCTTTGGAGATGACCATTCTTCTTGAATCTATATTTTCTTCCCAGAAACTATGAAGAAAATGTCCTCCGATAGTTATAGAACATTACTAATAGTTCTTCATAGAGGCCCAGCTATCCCTCTATCTATGGCGGTCATTAAGAGGAGATGTTTTGCTGGTAAAAAAACAACTTGGATCGTAGTGTATCTTTTCCATGGGATGACTGTCACACACCACCCAGCAGCCTTTGCCTTCTATCGCTCCTTCCTTCCCTCTTACCCATCAGGACAGGGCTGTGAGCGTCAGTCACATCGCATATGGGGAGCTTAATTGCTTACGCACTTCCTTTCTCGGAGCGTCACTCAGAAAACTGGAGCTGTATTTTCTATTGGCTTACATGATTTATCTAATTTAGAAAAAAGTAGTAATACTAGGGAAGTTATTTATCTATTTTTTAGTAGCCAGGTCTCACCTAGCAGCACAGCTTTTTGTATGTCTTTGTATATTTAAAACGTAGCACAACACACTCAGTGTCCAAAGCTAAACTTGTTCAATGCAGCTCTCATTTTCTGTGTTTATGCAGAACTAAGTAGAGATCATGTACGTTCTGCTCCTCATGTCTTGGAGTAAGATAATAACAAATGACATTTAAAGGAATCTTCTAAGTATTTGCTTCCTCCAAATTAAATGGAAGGGGTTTGTACCCTGCTAGTGAATGGAAGGAAGAAAACAGGCTGACTGACAAATTCTTCATTGTCTCTCTGTACAGGTGTTTAAGTGATGTGATCTCTTTTTTGCCCAAGTTGGTTCATCATTTTTACTTGAAAGTTTTAGTTTGCATAGTTTAAGTATTTTTTAACTAGATAAAGTGCATATAATAATACAATATGCACCTAACAAGAAGTCTTTCAACAAAATAATATATTGTTGTAAAATTTTTGGACTAATTCAAACCTGTATCATTTAAATAGTAACTACAGGTAAGCAAAAAGAATTAAAATGCAAATATTGAATTACAGCAGCTTCTGGTTTGCATACGGAAGGCCAGATTTTAGTAGAGAAGATAAATGGGAATCTGAAATCTACCTTTGTACCTATCACCTATATTTTTTTAAAAGAGCGTAATTGGCATCTGCACGTAGTTGAATATTGTCATAATGTATAGAGTTTGAGAAATATAGCATGGACATAATTAAAACATTGAACATATCTACCTAGTATAATTTGATTTTTTAATCTCAATATTTTCTTTCTTGGTAGTCAAACAAAAATTTGGATATTTCGATTAATGCATCAAACAACTTTAATCTCAACGTTACTTGGTCGGTTGGTTCAACAGGTAAGAGAACTTTGTTGCCAAGTGTCTTTCACATGTTTCTATGTGGACGGTGTTCTAACATGACCTTTTACTATTCATTTAAATAATTGAAATTAAAACAATATTATAGGCCTAATCACTGTGCTGTTTCAGATGAAAATAATAAGTAGCATTATTAATAAAGCTTCATTACTTTGTTAACTTTCTCCCTTATTCAATTAAAATTAGATGGGGAACAAATATTGTACATGACTTAACTTTTTAAAATGTGAGTGTCCTGAATCGCTATGATTTATTTAAGATTGATTACTTTTTTAATGACTAAAGAGACTGAGGTTTCAATAATTTGATTCACTATTCAAACTGTAAATTTAATTATTAACCTTAAATCGCTATAAAACAATGAAATTCTTCTGTGAAGACTGATGAATTAACAACTTATCTATTACTTTTTGTTAAGTTGGAGGGCTTGGTAAGATGGTTGGAAATGCTTTATTTCATCCCTGGCCTGTGTGTCTCAGTTGGTTAGAGCATCATCCTGTGCACAGAAGGGTCACGGGTTCAATTTCCCGTCAGGGGACATACCCAGGTTGTGAGTTCCATCCCCAGTCAGAAGGCAACCAACAGGTGTTTCTTTCTCACATCTATGTTTCTCCCTCTCTCTCCCCCCACCTCTAGAATCAGTAAAAAGCATATCCTCAGGTGAGGATTTAAAAAAAAATGCTTTATTTCATTTGGGTAATTTCAGTAAATACTTATTGAATAATGAATATTTAACTATTGAACATTTAGCTCATGTTTTAAATTATAAGCTCCTCCCAATTTATTCAAATTAGTGATGTTTCAGTTTGTGGTAAGACAGACAAATTGATTTCCCCCCCATTTTTTAATTTAATTGAGACATGAGAAATACAGCCTGATTTATTTTGAAATGCTCTGTGGAGTAGTAAGTAGAAGGAACTGTTTCTGAAGCCATATATACCTGAGCCCCAAAGAGGAATTTACCGTTCAGTAGCTGTATACTTGAGGCAAGTGCTTTAATCTTTCTGAGGCTCAAATTTCAATTTGAACAACTGAGATGGAACTTGGAAAACCTCTGGGATAAAATTGCTATTAGAAAAGAATAAAAGCCTAGTGCACAGCACTTAATCAGTGGTATGATTTTTAAAAATAATTTTTCTGCTAAATCTGTTTTATTATATTTATGACATTATATTACTTTTTCTTTTGTCAGTCTAAATTGTAAGCGTGAGTTTATTTTGATAATTATGTTCTTATAAGTACAGCTATAAAAAAAGTATAATATATCCTTTTAAGTTCATAAAGATCTGTTTTCTAATATGAATTACTTAAATTTTGTATTATTGTTTGTATTTTAGCTGGAACAATATCTGGGGAGGAGACCCCTATAGTTTCCAAGACTAATATAAAGGAATACAGAGATAGTTTTTCCTATGAAAAATTTAACTTTAGAAGCAACCCAAACATCACGTTCTATGTGTACGTCAGCAACTTCTCCTGGCCTATTAAAATACAGGTAAGTGTTAAAATAGTGTTAAATCTATGACTGTTGAGTATTTTCATTAGAAAAAGATTGTGGTTTCTTTCAAAGTGATGAGATAGATGGAGTTCTGTGTTTTGAACAATACGAAAAAATACACTCATGTTTGTGATTATTAATATCTCCATAAAAAACATTCATAAAATAATGTTGACTCAACCAAAGAATGTACCGATTTTTAATGAAATTATATTCTAAAGAAATGCATCAAACTTGAAATTAGGTTATTTGGATTTTCTGATTAATTGTATACTTTGAGTGTTAAATAGATATTCTTTTCTTACAATCCTACTTGAAATTACTCTGCTGTGTTTAGGAATCTCATTTTTGCTTTATTATATACTGAAGGTAATTTAAACTTGCTTTAAAAATTAAGCATTCGCTGTACTTAACAGTTCTTTCATACCCACTGCCTCTTACTGTTGGTATCTTTACCTCTGCTACTTACTTGTTGTATGTTTTGTTTTTATTGTGTTTTAGCGACAGGCTGCTAAGGATTCAGATTCATTTCTAGGAGATACTCAGGATGCTGTGTCTTGAAATGTGCATGGTTTGAGCTCTTACTTTCTGCTCTTATGAGAGTAAAGTCTGTACTTTGGGATTTGTTCATTTAGTCATTCTCTTATGACTGATTGTTTGGTTTGATTGAATTCAAATCAGTTTATGGAACAGCTCATATGTTCCAAGTCCTGGCCTAGGTCTGTTTCAAAATTTTAAAAATTTTTACAGATTACTTCTTTTATATTAATAAATGACAACTTATGACCTGTGGCTACAAATGTTTGCATGTTTTATTGACATTCATCTCTGTGTGTTTTGTGAGAGGACTGAGTAATTTTAAAAAATCATGTTTACTGGAAAAATCTTTCTCTTTAGTTTATGATCGAAGGTGACAAAAAGGCTCATTTATAGAGCTTATTAAATAGTAAATAAAATGGAAATAATTGTTATATTTTTAATTGTCCCATGCCCTTTATTTCTTGGTTATCTAATTGTATTTTATTTTTAAGAGCATTACATAGTTACTTTAGAATGCTTATGAATATTTAATAGTTAGAAATTAACTTTCTAAATTGGATTTACTTTTGGGAACATCTTAGTAATATGTTCTGGATCCCAAACTAGAATTTGTGTAATAACGTTGACATATTTGACTCTCCTAGAATAGGAAAATGTGGAAAATAACTGAGATGGTCTAGATAGGTAGAGCTTAATTTCTCCTCTGAGTAAAATGATTGTATTAGTCATGAGAAATGTGTTTTACTAAGGTATATGAGTATGTGTGTTTGTTTATAGAACTATAATAAACTTTCAATTATTAAACCTAAAATAGTAAAATTCTTTCAATCGAGATTTATTTTCTAATAGAATTGTATTACATTGATTGATTTTTAAGTGTTTAGCCAACCTTGCTATTCAGGGGTAAGCTCCACTTTGTCATTTTGTATTACTTCTTTTATATATTATTGGATTTGATTTGTTACATTTTTGTTAACAATTTTTTTATGCCTATGATATTGAGGAATATTAGTCTGTAGTTTTTCATTGTAATCTTGTTAGATTAGGTATTATGGTACTGCTGGCCTTACAAAATGAATTGGGCAATAGTTCTTCCTCTGTAATTTCCTAAAAGAATTTGTGTAGAATAGATTATTTTTCTATGAATTTTCTTGTTGTTTTAGTGGTTACTTTATGGTTTATCATAGACATTAAACTTCTCATTATCTATCTCCAAATAATTTTACATCACTCATTTTTTGACTATTAACCTTAAGATAGTATGCTTCCATTTTCTTCCTTCTGGTCTTTGTGTCATTGTTGAATAAATTTTACTGTTTCCTTTATTATGAAGTCATTCTGCACTTGCTATTTTTGATGGAGTCAATTGTATTTAAAGATATTAAAAATAAGAAATTATCTTCTATTTTACCTACATAGTTACTCTTTTAATCTAGGTATTTTTCAAATATCCTTCTCCTACTGCCTAATGGACATCCTTTAAAACTTTAGTGCAGATCTGCTGGCAATGAATTATATCATCCCATATTTCTGAAAAAGTCTTTATTTCAGTTTTATGGGGATTAAAGAATCCTAAATTGTAGCTCTTTTATATAATGAGTCTTTTTCCTCTTCTGCATTAATTTTTTGTTCTCTTTATTATTGATATTGGCCAATTTGATTATAATGTACATAGGTGTGGTTTTCTTCATGTTTTCATGTGTTTTTGTGTGTGTGTGTGTGTATGGGTTTTATTGAACTTCATAAAAACATTATAATTTTCACCAAATTTGGAAAACGTTCAGCTATTATGTCTCAAAATTTTGTCCCATCCCTCTCTTCTCCTTCAGAGTCTCCAATTGTATGTATATTAGATGGCTTGAAATTGTTCCTTGGCTTACTAATGCTCTGTTCTTAATTTTTAATTCACTATTTTTTTCTCTGTGTTTCATTGTGCATATTTTTTTTCTTATACCTTCAAGTTCATAAACTTTTCTTTTATAATGTTTAATCTGATATTAACCCCATTCAGTGTATTTTTCAACTTACACATATTTTTTATCTCTAGAAACTTAAGTAGTTTTTTTTTTGGAAATATCTTCCATGTTCTCTACTTATTATGCTCCATCTTTTTTCTTCCTCTTGAACATACAGATTACAGTTATCATCACAATGATCTGTGGTATTTAAAGGTTCACCTCCTATTTTACCCACTCAGGAGTGATTGTCCTGTGTTGCTTGATATCTAGTGCCTGAAAACAAGTGTTTCAGATATTTTGTCTTTTTTACTACTTGATTAGACATGAAGATAAATCCATTCTCTGTTACTCCATTTTGGGAAGAGATAAAAATCTTACCTATAATTTTGAGTCTAAATAGTAAGTAGAATAAGTATAGTAGCCACATGTTAGTTCACCAACTGAGGAGACTGTTAACAGATATGTGGTTTTATGTTTACTTGTAAATTGTTTTATTTATTAGCCTAGATTTACGCTTCCAAGTACTTTTCAGATAAACAGCAGTTAAGGTGCAGACATATTTTTATATATTTTAGATTTCAAAGACATTCTATTGCAGATTCCAACAAGCTATAAGTTATGTGAAAGTTTACAATCCATGGATGAAATTGTTCATAAATATTTACCAACTACATTTGTGGAAGCAGTTATCTTAAAAAGTGTCTGAAATAAAGTACAAAATACCTAATTCTTATTGAAAAATATCCATACCATGAGATACCAAGAATACTCTGTTCAAAAATAAATATCACTGTCCCCCCCAATTTTATCAGTGAGTTTCAAACAAGCAAAAATAGTTTGTGATAAAAATTAACATTTAAATTTCATGACCATTTTTACTTAATTTATTTTGATGTTTGCTTCAGTAGACTTGTAGCACAGAGAGACACCTTTGTGTGTATAGCTGAGAGGAAGTGCTTCAGGTTATTTTAGCCATACAACTTGTAATTTAATTCTTTTTTTTTAAATAAGCTATAGCATAAAACATGTATAAAGATTTAAATACTTCATTATTTGTTGTTTATGTGAAAATATTTGTATCATATCCTTTTTGTAAGCAAAATATTTCACACAGATTTTACTTCAATTAATATTAATAGTATTTTCATTAATTTCTTCCATCACACATCTTTCGCGTACTTTTGGTTATAGTATTTCCACTGTACACTTGAAGAGATTGACTCGATCAATTTAAAACGTGGTACATGAATAAGGGAAGTTTTTGCTGATATGTGAGAAAGGAGAAAAGTATTTCATTTGTCTTGATCCAGTTTCAGTCTAATGTTTCTGTTGAGATGAAACATCCTCGCATGATAATAGGTCTTTGTAAACTTCTGCAAGTAATGAACAAAATAAAAAATTAAAGCAATGGCATCTTCTGTACTTCATCAGTCAAATGCTAACCTAAAGTAGTGCTCCTTGCAGAAATGCCAGAAACTGAACATTTATATAAATTTTTGGCTACGCTTTCAAGCAGACATTAAGCTTCAACATATACAGGACATTTTTCTAGAGGATGAACTAGTATATAAAATAGTATTTTCCCTCAGGTAGCTCATGAAATATATTGTAAGCATTTTTTTGAGTAGTGAATAAAGAAATCCAACTTTAAATGAGCTTTAAAGTAAAACAAGGGACATTGCAGGCTTCGAAAACAGGACGCGGAGAGGAACTGTCTTTGGGACTTTAAGATCTCAACATCCCCTCCGATCATATTACCTAAAACGTCATCCCTTTATGTTCTTTGTACCGCATTATGCAAGTCATCACTGAATTGCTAGCGCGCTTTTTCTTTCTCCGTCTCTAGTTTCTGTTTCCCATGTTGACCCTATTCTACTTCAGTCGGGTTTATTGCATCCTTATTTAGTATCCTGGAGAGAAAAGGGAAAAGATTCTTTCTTAGAGCCTTTGTGCAGTTTCAGGGACATATTTTGGTTTGTTTACTTCATAAAATGTTGCCGGAGCCATTCACTTTGGCTGACATAAATGCGAATGATATTTATGAACCGGAGACCCTAGGTTACGTATCCACCTCTTTGACGGTTACAGAGGTGATATTGAAGTAGGAAAGCTGCTTGGGGACAGTTGTATTGAAGCGAGGTTTTGAAGGATGTGTAGGAGTTCGGCAAAGGGACGTGATGCACGAGGGAATTCTAGACAAGAATATGGGTCTTCACAGTTATGAAGAATTTTCACCAAGGAGCAATATGGATTTTTTTTTATTGTTTGGAAAATAGGCCGCATGGCAGACATCTGATGATGTAGGATGAACGTGTGTGGGGCGTGTGGGATGACAGGAGTGGGGGAAAGTGGAGACAGAATGTAACTGGAAAGTTTCCTTGAAACCGACTGATAAAGAATTTTCAGAGTTAATCATCGGATGTGCATTTTAGAAAGAAAATTTGGACAGTCATCTGGCGGAAAGAATTTTATGAAATTGAATCTAAGTTGTGTGTATTTTTTTTAATTTGACATTAAAAAAAGGAATTTTGTATATTCTGAATTGACAGCCAAAGTACTAAGCCTGTTACCCACAGCGTCGGTACTGACATTCCGCGGGAGGATGCTACTGCTCAGTTCAGAGAAATACATGTTCTGTTACTGCGCCCGGAGTTTGATAGACCCGTCTGAGCGACCAGAGAATGGCCAAGTGCCCACACCAAGAAAGGAGTCTTTTTCTAGGAGTATTTCTGACTTAAAGTATGATTTTTGCTCTCTTTCACTTTCATTTTCTCCAAGACAGTAGCTGTGAGTTGCATGCCCGGCATGTTGGGGCGCAGTACTGCGGATCAGGGGCAGTACATAAGTGCCATCCACGTTCTCGAAGACTTTAAACTTCTTCCCCACTCTCCTGCAGCCTGGCGTCCACCCGCAGCTCCTCTGGAACCCCCACGTGGTCCTCGGTCCCTCCCGGGCGCCCAATTTCAGCTCCCCGTGGCGGTGGCGGCTGCCCGTCAGCAGCGTCCCTGCTCCCCAGGCCACCGCGCTCGCACTCCCCCTCCTCTGTCGCCAGATCTTTACGTTTTACGTTATTTCCCTGTATTCCTCAGCTGCGCTGTAGCCGCTCTGCTCTTCGGCAGCGCGCTTTCTGTTGGGCCTCACCCCCTCTGATGGCCTCCGGGGTCACTGTCTCTGCAGGCCGTTCGCAGGCCACCCCCAGCCGGCACAGTGCGCGCTGGCCCGCTGGTCGCAGGAGGTGGCACCGCTGGCACCGCGGTGCTTGAACCAGACCCGGGTTTGACCGCTGGCTCAACTCTGTTCCTTCGCGGGCAGGCGCACCACGCACACGTTTCATTCATTGCACTGACGAGAAATATTCCTTTATTTTCTTTTAAATACCTGTTGAATCCATTAATTGTTTTTCCAACCGCCTAGTGCCAGGCTGAGTAGCCACTCTCACGTCCATCCTCGGCGGCGGTAGTGCGCCCGACTCTCTCCCCTGTCCTGGGTATTGTTTCTTTAAACTTTGGAGCTACTGTTACTTGCATACTTTGTAGGCAGTAGAGCCTCTGGAAAAGTCAGGGTTGGTGAAGTACAAATAGTTGAAGTGCAATTTGAGTATGTAAAAGTAAACTACTTCAAGCTATTTTGGCTACTAGTGAACTGAATATTATAAATGTATACATCAGTAAATACGGGATATTACATATAGGTCTAAATAAAATATATGAGCAGTGTGTATCTGTATCTGTCTTTAGACTTTGGGTAAAAATAAAAATAAATGAAAATTGTTTATATTGGTTTTATCATATAAAAAGATGTTGAGTAAAATAATATTAGTATTTATATTATGTTTTCATTAAAATCACTGTAGCTTCTCTTTTAAATCATGCATATTTTATTACAAGTTGTATTATCAAATGTGGTTATATTTTTTACCTCTTAGCCCATTCCTCAATAATTCATTAACGTTTTAAATTTATTTTTAAGTAATTCTTTTATTATTTTATAAAGCATTTTAGTGAGAATTATATGACAAGCAGTTCTCGTAGGATAAAGACCGCACGTGGGTAAGACTGTGCTGGTTGCTAAGTTACAGGATAGATTATGACTTCTTATCTAAAAACATTGTTGCTGCCCAAAGTCACTCGCTCCATGATTTTTTAAATGTTTTTGAAGATGTTTGAGAAATAAATATCTCTAGTGAGGATTTTTATTTTACTTTTTTGTAAGTATAATACCAAGTTGTTGTTTTTGGTTTTTTTTTTGACTATCATTTAGATGGATGTATTGTAAACGCTTATTTCTTATAGCATCGTAAATCTAGCGCTTACTAATGGAATTCTAGAAATCAAGAAAATTACTATTTTTGTCTATCAGATACATACTACACCAACCAGATCAGGAAAATGATAATTTGGCCATTGAGAGCCCTGCTATTTTGATATATTATTTGATGAATTTATGTTTTTAAGGAAATAGCTTCAATTTAATGTAAATCATTCTAGTTTTAAACCAATTTTCTTCATTGTCTCTGAGAGAGTATTTTATGTCATGGATTGCCAACTACTTTAGCATTCAAATATCCTTGAAATTTCCAGTTGTGACTGACTGTGAGGCATATAGCAGCAGTGTTACGTGGTAAATATGTTAATAATCTAGTAATTAAACAGGAAGATACTCATTTTTCTTTCCGAGCGCTGGGAACCATGCTACTCGGTTGATCTGCACCAGTTTCTAAAGTGAGGTTTTATTTCGGTGACACATCCTTTATGACTTGTAAGGCCATGCAATTGAATCTTGACGATAAAAAGAAAAAAATACTACTAAAACCGCAATGCTAATAACTTGAAAAGGGGAAAGATTGCATTGAGCTTAAGCACTTTTATTCTACAAGACTGCTGCTCATTAGCACTTATACATCACCATTTAAATTAAATTAGATTAAATTAGTTTGAATCTAAATTACCTGTTTCTGAGTAATTGGGATTTGGTAATTTACTATTAAGTCAATCTGCAAACTATGTCATAATTTAGATTTGATTTTTTTAAATGGGAATACTGCTGGGAATCGTTCTTCAATTTGCAATTTCCATTCGGGTAGGAGACCAGGTGATAAGATAGTTTAAGTTAATACAGAACAGGGGAGAAGAGGGGAGTCCCGGCGCGATGTGTATACGTTTTCATCGCAGGCGTGTTAGCGGTTTGAACGTAGGCGACGGGCCATTTGAGCGCAGGAGGTGGTTAGCTGCTAGGTAACGAGGCACTGACGTGAAGAGGGGCTTACATCTGGTCCGTGCTGTTTGAAAAGTCGGGGTTATACTGATGTGCTGAGAAGCATATCCTTGTGTACCCCCCCAAGTTACCCCAGAGGACACATATGATTGCTGTTGATGGCTTCCAAACTGTTATAAGCTTAAGGAATTCATCGGCTGTCCGTTAAGACACACTTTTTCCTTTTGTTTTAAGCTGCACCTCTCTTTTGTCGTGAAAACTAGATTGGCATAAGTTTAAGAAGTGGTATTTGATCTCCTAGCCAATATCAATTACACTAATCAGGACATATAAATGTGAGGTAAATAGTAGATGGTACTTCAGACACATACTATTGTAGCGCTACATGGGAAGATTTTATGACAGCTGAAATATAAGACTGGCTGCAACAGGTGCAGATGCTCTAGAGAGTAAGTGAAGAAAGATGTATCAGTCATATCAAGTTTACACTGTAATGCCAGAGTTGAGTAGTAAAAACAGACCGTATTGCTCACAAAACTGAAAATATTTACAGAATATGTACAGGCCCTAAACGGGAAAAGTTTGTTGACTCCTTATTTTAAATATTACTACTAATGTTATTTTTATAAACAATAAGATTGTTAGATAAGATGGCTTATGGGTATAATACGGTTTTCTAAGAAAATGACTTATAAGGAGCCTACCTATTCAGTCTTTCCATTTGTAAAATGAATCTCGCTATTAAAGTTCTCCAATTCTTTATAGAAGAAAGTTTTTAAAAGCCATTGATTTCCCTTCTACATCTAATTAAACTCTTTAAAAAATTTAATGAATTCTTGTTCAATATTCATACAACCGTATAGATATTTTTAGATATTTGCCATTATAATATAATTTGATTTTATAAAGTTCTATGATTTTTATATAACATAGAGAAAACAATTTCATTTCTATATAATCTTCATTATCATTTTTAATACCAAAATAATTTTATCCACGTTTTACAACTCCATGGTATATTATTGGAAATTTGGAGGTTTTAAAAAAGTAATGTAGCAATAAATATTGCTCTCATTTATGTGATATATACATATGATATTCAACATCACTAGCCGTCAGGGAAATGTAAATAAAAACCATGTGAGATACCACTACATACCCACTGCAATGGCTGATGTTAAAAAGAGTGAAAATGTCACGTTTCGGTGAGGATTTGGAGTAACTGGGATTCACATACATTATTAGTGACAATGCGTAATGGTACAGTGACTTTGAAACAATATTGCTTGTTTTATAAAATGTATCCCACATTTACCATATGACTAGCAGCTCTGCTCCTAGTTTGTACACAAGAGAAATGAAAACAGGCCGCACAAAAAGTCTTAATCACAAATATTTATAACGCCATTACTCATGAAATCCCCAAACTGGAAACAATCCATAAGTGTATTAACTGGAGAATAGATAAGCAAAATATATATCCATATTATATAATACTCAACAATAAAAAGAAATGAAATGTTATTACGGGCACTGTCATGGACAAATCTTAAAAATACTGTGCTAAATGAAAGAAATCCAACATGAAAATTACATTGTATAAAAATAAAAACTTACTGCTGAAGTTTCAGCTAACTCGATATGTTAGCAATTCACTTTATCAATTATTTGGAGGCTGTTTAAAAACATAGGGTGAATGAGGATACTGTTAAATTTTACCATTCATTTGTCTCTTGATTTGGATTAAGTTCTTGAATAATTACTGGATAGCTTGAATAAAATCATTACAGAAAAGGGAATTTCAAAGATATATTTATGTAGGCCAAAGTTTTAAAATTTACTTTAAATGTGACTTGAAAAATCTTGTCATGTTTTCATGGGAATGACCACAGAACCAAAATGGGAACGTGTTGGTTATCTGTAAAGGGCCATGTTCTAGCCGCGTCATCAGCCAATAGGAATCTCCCTAAATTAAAATTGAATTTTAACATTTTAGGGTCAGAAATGGTCCATACATATCCTCAGAGAAACTACCAAATGTAAGGTGTTGTTACTGATTTTGATTCCAGCATGAATGGTTTATAATACGGTGATCCAATTGTCTGGATCGTTGAAAAGCATAGTATTTACAAATGCCATGAAGCATGATCATATCGATTCAGTAAGTTTCAAACTTTCTTTCATTTTGATCTTTCAGATTGCATTTTCACAACACAACACAATTATGGATCTCGTGCAGTTTTTTGTCACCTTCTTCAGGTAATTTGCTTTTATTGACTTCGAATTTGTTAAACCTACAATTTGATATATGTTCTGTCAATCTGTTTGGTAATCTATGAAATCTTTAACCTTAATATATCATATATTATGTCCTGAATAGTTTTACGTGCTTAAATATATACCACAGAGCAGAGGAAACATACTTGAAATACACTTTTGCAAGATTATTTTACTGTTGTACCGTTTCATAGTTAGTGGGTTCAGTGGAATGAGGGTAACCTTGTGTCCCCCGTCACATAAGTAATTAAAGCCTGTTTTAATTAACAAAACAGTACATTCTCCATGTTGATTAGGTACATCTCCTAAATCAATTCAGTGATTTCTTAGGAAATGATCATATGTGCCTAGCAATGTGCTAAAATCTGTAGGGAGTAGGAACAAGCCTGTATTTTATGTTCTCGAAGTGTTTATAATCTGGATGGACTAAATTTGACTGAATAGAGCACCATTCCTAGGACATTAGTTATTTGAGATAGCAACGGTGGGTTCGTAAAAAAGGGTTTCATAATTAAACACCTTTGGAAAATGTATTTACTGAAGTTAAGTACGGCCCTTTTAGTTTTTTAACTTACATTACTTTTGATAGTTTTTAATATGCTTATTTGCAATGTATCTTTCTAAAAGAGAGGGTAGAGTTTGAAGCATTTCTTGAGACATGAAAACTCTTTACCATGGGATTTAAGTGGAGGAGCGCTGGGCTAGGGGAAGAAGCTGAGTGCCCGGGTTATGGCATCTTAGATCCTCTGGACTGGAAGGAGTGTAGGTTTCTTGACATGATTACGATGCACACCGCTTACGCGGGTCCATTGGGTGCCGTTGTGCAAACTAGACAAATGCGTCCCCTCCTGTGGCGGACACAGCCCCACATCACAGCACACAGCTCTACAGACGGCGCAGTGTGAATCTTCACCTTCACCCAGCAAGGAGGCTGTACTGCCTTGGACAGTAATGAACCTTCCCAGCCCAGCACAGGTGCCATGCCAGGCCCTTTCCTAAACACCAGGTGACCGTTGCTGTTGATCTGGCCCGGACACCCATACGGCACTTGACTTTCTGATGCCTTCCCCACAGAGGTAGCAGACATTTTCTGTGAAGGCCCAGGTAGTAGACTCACATTTGCAGGCTGTGCGGCCTCTGTTGCGTGTGCGCACCCCAGCGCTCTAGGGCACAGCAGCCACGGCCCGTATGGAAAGGAACGGAGGGGCTGTTCCAGGAAACCTTCATTATGAAAACAGCCGGCGGGCAGAGCACTGCCTGGGACACAGTGCCGCCTCCTGACCTCGCTTATGCCTCAGTGCCTCTAGTGACAGGGACCGCACCGCCTCCCAAGGTAGACTTTTCTGTCTTCAGACAACTAATTGTTCTTCGTAACTGAGATGAGATCTGGGTCCCTGTAATATCTCTTCTAATTCATCCACATGGGCCCATTCCATAGAAAGCCTAATCTCTCATCTCCACTTACAGCCCTTCAGTTTTCCACACTATTTTTTCAGATTTACCCATTCTCTGTTTACTTGTCCATTTCTGCCCTCAACACCTTTGCATGGTGGTCACTTTGCTCTGGGAACAGTCACGTTTGTCTCCGTCCCTTGAAAATTTGTAGTTTCCAGAATTGAACGCTATAAACATATTTACCACTAACAGGAGTGCAAAGTCTATTCATGCTGTATGTCCCTTAAAAGTGAAATTTGAGGAAACATCTTAAATTGAGTTAATGTTTTATGACTTTCTACTTCTGAATATAAATGGATTTTAAGGCTATTAATTATGTTATGTCTTTGGAAAGTATTAGAAGTTAGAATCAAATGAGCATTATTTAATGCATCAAAGTAAAACTTTTTGCGATGCAGAATAGTGTGGATGGAAATATACTGTTTAAGGTTTTAGTTGAAGCTTTTGAATTTGTGCGCATATTTAAGTTTAATCGTTCTTTTATTGAATAAAAGAAAGCTAGCGTTAATGTGTGCCATGTCTTAGAGATGGTCTTATTATGTTGTCATCATGGACAAAGTGGAAAAAAATATACTAATGATTGTGTGAGATAAAACACATTTGACGGGGCATTTTTTTGTCATTTAAATCTGTTTCAGTAGTGAAATGTAAATTAGTATTAAAATTGTCTCATTGTTAAGAAAAATCATGGACAGAATATTTTGAACTTTATTTAGTTGTGTGCTTTTTTTGTTTAATAAGGCCACTGATAAGTTTTAAAAGAGAGTTTCAAAGAGGCCAGCATTTGTGGACACCCTTCCGTCGGGCCACCATGACTGCCAGTGCTGTTCCTAACCGAGTCACTGAAGCAGCAGAGAGGGACGTGTCAGCTTTGGGTGTAGCCACGATTCTATGGAGGCCAGTTCACAAACTGTCAGTTTTCTAACTCTTTGTATTGGGTATAGTTCTGTGAAACCAGACAAATTGCCTGCTTCCAAAATACAGTGGTGGGACAGGCACAGGGACATTCCCATTCCCAAAGGGAGGACTCTGAAGGAAGGAGGCAGTGATGGGCCTAGCGTGTCGCAAACCCAAGGCAGATCCCATGAGCTCTTTAGACCAGAGAAGTCCTCTTTGGCTTAATGCTGTACCTCAGGGCCCATTGGGGTGTCAGCATCACCCCACAGCTCTGTGGAGGAGCCCTGCCCCTTCAGTTGGTGAGATGGCCCTGACCCTAAAGCACTGGGCAGTGGTATCCTGGTTCCCCCCAAACCAAGGAGGCTTCACCCTTTGAAACAGGAGAACTAATCTTGCTCCCCAGGGCTTTGGTGGGAGTGGGAGCCCTGATGATCTCTGAATGACTTTTGGGGTCATTCTTCCCTTTTCTAGAAGTATAATTCTGTTCCCAGCTGAATGCCTATGGCTCCATCCTATAGAATCCGAGAAGTCTGACCGCATTCCTCCATTCTGTCCTGCTTTTCTGTTCACTTCGGTTCAAGCTGGCAGGTGTCCAGGCTGGTGCAGTCCCACCTCTGTTTCTTGCTTCTGCTGACATGTTGATCATATCCATGAGCCACACCCATGATTTCTTTATCAAATGGTGGTTTAGCCACATCCTTAGTATTCTCTTTAGAACAAACTTTCTCAGGTTTTTTTTTCCAATTTGGATAGACTGAGAATTTTCCAAAATTCCAAGTTCTGGTGCCTTCGTGCCTAACAATTCCTTCCTCAGTTCATCTCTCTCCTCTTGCATTTTACTATAAGCAGGTCAGAGAGCCGGAGCCACATCTTCAGTACTTTCCTTATAAACCTCTTATGCCAGATATCCAATGTTCATGGATTGCAAGTTCCACTTTCACCATACGCTAGAACACAATTCAGCCAAGTTCTTTGTCATGTTATAACAAGGACTGCCTTTCCTCCAGTTTTCAATAACCTGCTCATCACTTTCATCTGCTACCTCACTAGAATGGCCTTGAACTCTTGTATGTGTATCAACATTTGTTCATGATTGTGTATTCTGTAAGAAAATAGTTCTTGTTTCTTTCTGACCTCTCACTAGAATCACCTTTTAAGTCCACGTTTCCCTCCTCAGTCTCTTCACATCAATCTGGGCCCTTTCTGGCCTGCATCTCAAAATTCCTCCAGCCTTTACCCATCACCTTGTTCCAAAGCTGCATCCACATTTTAAGGTATTTGTTACAGTGGCCTCTACTTCTTGGTACCAAAATCTGTCTTAGTCTGCTCATGCTGATGTAACAAAATACCAAAGACTGATGGCTTAAACAATGGAAATGTAGTGAATCTCAATTCTGGAGGCTGGTAAGTCAGTCTAAGTAAGATCTGGGTGCCTGTATGATTGGTTTCAGGTGTCTCTTCTCATGAGAACATTATTCCTGTGGATCAGGGACCCACTCTTATGACCTCATTTAATCTTAATTACCTCCTAAATCCCCTGACTCCAAGTATAGTCACATTGAATGTTAGGACTTCAACATAGAGATTGGATCAATACAATTCAGTCATAGTGAGGAGTATAAAGTTCATTTTGTTCCGATATTGTTTATAGCATTTGCATTAAGTTTTCTGTTACTTGAATTTGAAATCATCTCAACTACTAGTGCATCCTAAGATATAGTTGGTTCTTGCTCAATAACCCCCAAAAGTCTGTACCACTGTGTGCTATGAACATACTGTTTTCTCAGTTTCACCCCGGAGGCTTTGTCAATTGTTCATCTTTGATAACTGAAACAAGTTTTGTTTTTGCAATGTATAGGTTGGGCTTTTTTTGCATTCTAAGTTTATGATTTTATTTTTTAATATTTTACTTAGTTAAAAAAATCCTTCAAGTGTTAGGAAAGCATTTTTTTAAATCTTTGAAAGATATTTTCCAGAATAGCAGTAATTAGGGAGAAAATTGCTTTTTAAAATAATACATTTTTATATTTCAACACAGTTCCCTAGTTTGTAACATTTTTAGTTGAAATAAAAGATTAATATGCCCAAATCCTCTTTTAAAATATGTATTTAAGACTCGATTTTTATGATCAATTAGCCTCAAATTGCTGTAAAATAGTGACAATATTATCTCTTTTTGCATTTGGCCGACTAGATTACCACCAGAGGGTATTTCTTTGTCTCTCGAAGCCTGCTTTACAATACGATATATACCACACTATGCTACTTGTATTGAATTCTCTTTAATTTTCCCTAAATGAGAATATCTAATGAGCTCCATGTTTTTTTATTTTAAGAAGCCTTTCCATAATGACCATTCTATGAAGGTTAAAATCGAATTATTGAGCTCTCTCTCCCTCAGTCCTTGTGCTTTTCTTTCCCCCCATAGCTCATCTCCTTGCTTTTCAGTGTTTCCTTTCTTCCCTTCTTTCCTGTTTCATTCCCACTGGGGGCCTCACTGCAGGACGACGAACCTTTCATACCTTTTGATACTATTAGAGGGCATTTTTAATGAAATCCCAGTTACCCCCTGCCCCGTACCCCTACCAGGGAGCTGTAAGACTCGCGTGTAATGTAATAGGAAGAGATCTGAGGAAAGTGATGGAACATTTTCCCTGGTGGACTTACCACCGTCCCAGGTTCTCCAGTGCTGGCGGTTGACGTTGCTCGTAAGAATTCTGGCTTAAGAAATACATCAGGGAGAAGCTAACTGGAGCAGCTGGACCCATATGTATCAGTCATTTTATGAAGGGAGTGTTCCTCCCTCCCAAAGTCCGGTGGGCAGAGGGGAGCCAGCGGAGGGGACGGGGCACTGCTCCATCAAGGAATCCCCACTGATGGAGAGAGAGCCTGTCGTTCTTCAGGCCCCAGGGTGTCGCAGAGACTGGGAGTGTCTTTTGGTCGCCAGAGGATGAGGGTAGCTTTTCACCTATGCTGGGTAAATTTGTCAAGCTATTTTGTTTGTTTGCTTTTTTATCAAGCAAGTGTTCTTAAAAACTGGTTTTTGTTTTAAATATAGATATTTAAAAAGAACTATAATTTTTATTTGCAGTATAATTTATTACAAATCAACACTTATAATTTATAATCTTGCTAAAAAGCTAATAATGCCAAATAAGACATTCAATGCCAGAAAAATTATAAGATATTCAAATCAATTAAGGAACCAATTCCATTTGTTTAGAAAAAGTTTAATGACATCTACTACTTGCCAGGAACTGAGATCTATTTCATTGAGTTTTTAATATTTTGAGAGATTATTAGAATATTATGGAATATTTTCTTAAATTATTGATTGAATTTTACCAACCAATTTATTTATATCATCCTGAGCTCTAATCTAATATGAATTAGCATAGAGAGCGTTCACTGCAAACCTCTAAAGTATATACATATCTTCTCTCCTGGATGTTGAAATTATGAAAACGGAACATTTTTATGCTGGATTTCCACATCATTATAAAAGTGGCACTGTGCACGTGAGTCATGAAATTTAGATCAGAAAGACTGTAATTTCCTCTGGAGAAATTCAGCAAGTCTTCACTCTCTTAAATTGAATCTCTGTCATGTAATTGTTGTGAATGAGAAGTATTGTGAATTACTGATTATCAAACAAAAATATTTTTGCTATTTAATCTGTATGTAGTTATTTAATACAAGTGAATTTTGAGACACATAGTGTTGTCTACTACAGATATTCTGAAAGACCCAGTTGACAAAATTTGTGCCGGACTGAGTGTGAGGGATGAGAAAGCTGGATGTGCCGCTGCATTTTAGCCGCAGTGACGGTGAAAGGCAGAAGGCGGGGCCGGGCAACTGAATGCCTCTTCACTTAGGCGTGTTCCTTAGGCTCTCCCTGAGTTAGCTTTCTCATCTTTTTCCCTGAATCCTCATTGAAGGATAGGTTTTTATTGACTTTTAGAGAGAGGAATGAAGGGGGGGAGAAACGTCAGCGGGGGATGGAGACCCCGGCCTAGGTGTGGCCTGACCACGAGCTTCCACATGAGCATGTGGCACTATCCATGGTGTGTCATGTGGGATTACGGTGACTAAAGAAACAGCGCACCAGCACACCATAGTGCTTGCTACATGCTACTCAATAGATGCTGGTCTTATCTTAATGGATGTTATCAGGAGCTCAGTTTGGACATGGTAGGTTTGAGGTGATGTATCTATAATGTTAAGATTCTTAAGTGTGTAATGGTAGGACTGAATTTCAGGTCACTAGATCCTTGGACTTTATCTAAGTACTGTTTCTCAACAATGTTAACATGGATATAACAAAGGAAGTGTAAGCACTGTGGTAATAATTCAGACCAGAACAGGCTTTCTCAGCATTATCAGCATCTTGATCTGGAAAAACCTTGGGGTTGGGAGGCTGGCGCTGGCCTGTGTATCATAGGATAGTAACCGGCATCCCATCCGATGCCCACCAAATGGTAACAACCAAAAATGTCTTTGGACACTGCCACGTGTCCCCTGGAGGACACAACTCTCCCAACTGAGAATTACTGGAGCCAAGGGAATCATGTGGGCTTCAAGTATAGAAAGAAGTTTTAGCACACAGAAAAAGGAGTCAGTGTAGCCCAGAAAACAGAAGCAGCACTGATAGATGAGGACAGTTTAATAGAAGGATATGTTCATAGCTCGAACTAGCTAAAAATAGAAGGCACTGACTTGTAAGGCAGCTTCTCAGCTCCGAGTATTTAATTAGGAGCTGGGTCACTATCAGAATTGTGCTGAGAATTTCTTTTCTGGGAGGGAGTTTGAACTAAATAAACTCTTAGATGCCCACATTTTGGCAGGTCTGTCTGATGATACAGATTTTGAAAACCATTGCAAGCAAGGCCGTAGTTGAAGCCATGAAAATAACTGAGCCCTCTCTTGGAGAGCAAGAGAAGATAACAGCATGGTTGCTGTGAACTGGGTTTTAATTGAGAAGAGGGCATCCGGAGTGCAGCCTGCCTTCGCTGACCCTGTAATGTGTCAGGAAGGATGCAGGGAGACCAAGAAAATAATGTATCCAGACGGAGTTTCAAAGAATGAATGATTGGTATTGTCAATGTGATTGACAAAAGACCAGTGTATTTGACTACTTGAAAGTCATGGTGAGGACGGTATCCTCTAAAGTGTTCAATGTTATATAAACATTAATCTTTATTAATATTAACATTTTTATTAGCACACAAGCCAGATGCCAGATTCTAAAGAGTTAAATGAAACTAGATTATGAGGAAGTTGACAGGGAGGTGGGCACATTGACCATGTGCTCAGGAAAACACAGGAAGCGACGGTCAGTAAAGCAGCCTTGCTGTTTCTGTTCTTTAGGAGGTATGGGACTTGAGCACTTTGGAAAATCTAAATTAGTATGAGAAAAGTTTGTAAACATTAGGAGAAGAGATAATTATATAAAAGATAAAAAAGTAGGTACCTCAGTGGTTTGGAAAGGTTAGGGTCATAGGCTTTTAAAAAATTTTTCTTTATTTTTATAAACCTACTTCCTTTGATCATCAAGAAAGAATTAGAAAACGGGTATGGAAATAGAAATGTGAGACAGTGGGTAAGCTCCCAGCAGAGGGGGAGGGGAAGAGTTTGAGGCTTACGTAGTGGGGTTTGAATTTTAACACTACCTGCTCCCTGTGTGACTATAGGCAATTTACTTTGAACTCTGAGCATTGACTCCTTCTTTTCTAAAAAAAGGATAACACATGTTCTATGGAGTGTTCCTGGAGAACTAAATTCAATGATCAATGTAAAGTTTGTAGCACAGTACCTGGGAGGTTTTCAGCACTCGGTGGACAAGAGCTAGAATTGTCACTGTCATCGTCATTGAAGGATATGCTAAGATTTCTTCAGCTGAGGCAGTGAGGAAAAATATATTAAGGCCTTGACAAGCATGGAAAGTGTCAGAAATTGCACTGCTTACAAGGGGATCGATTGATGAAGACAAGGATCTTCAGTTCAGGAGAAGACCAAGATTTTTATAGCGACCAGTGAATTTGTAGTGACTCAGGTCTGCTCACTTCTGGGGTTTTTCACAGCTTCATCTCTGAACCACAGAGCAAAGGAAGAGAAAATAAACATTGCTACAGGGTTCGGATTGATTAATAGGATTCACAGAAATCTTTTATTTAGATATTTGTCAGTCTCAAATTGCTGCTAACCAAGTATCCTGTATTATCATAGCTTATTGCCTATTGTACCCAATATGTATAGACCACATGTATAAACATTTAACTGAATAATTTCTTATTTTAAACATCAGCGTATACTGGGGTTTCTGAACTTCAGCACTACTGACATTTTGGACTAGATGATGATTCTTTGTTGTAGGGGGCAGTCCATCCTGTGCATTACAGGAGGTTCAGAAGCATCCCTGGCTCTGCTCACTAGATACGAGTTGCTCCCCTCCCAGTTGTAATAATCAAAACTGACTACAGACATTGCCACATGTCCCCTGCAGGTGGACAGGAGGCTAAAATCATCTTCAGTTGAGAACCTCTGAAATACTCTCATACCTAAAATAGTTGCTAATAAAGATGAAATAAATGAATGAACATGTGAAATTTGAATTTATATAGTTGCCAATATAACTCAATGATTTTAAATAGAGTTCTGTTTCTTCATAACACCAATAGAATTATAACTTACATTTCTTCTGACAAAGAAAATCTTAAAGGTAGACTAAAATGTATAGCAGGAAATCTAAATAATTCTTCTACCTGTATACTTCGATTTTACTTGAGAATATTTTCAACACCAATTTATCTTTTTATGCTTGAATTCTTTACCAAGACAAAATGGTTACTTCTATAGATACAAGGTGGGACATAAGGAGGTTTATAGTCCGTATGGAAAATAATATGATAAGTAATAATACATGAATAAACTCTGTGTTTCGCGTACTCACAACTGTAACCCTACTTTTACCCCACCTTGTATATACTTGAATCCTCTACATGTTCTTTTATTCCATATATTAAATGTTTTAAGCAGAGATTATTTGTGTTTTATTTTCCAGTTGTTTTTTATCCCTATTATTGGTGGCTGCTGTGGTCTGGAAGATCAAACAGACGTGCTGGGCTTCTCGGCGGAGAGAGGTATCGGTAACAGCATTCCCTCTTTTGTTTAAAGATTCAAGCAAACATCTGGGCCTCTATTGCTTACTTAACATGCTCCTTTCAAATATGGGTTTTTACACCCATTTCATTTTATTGAGGTTGAACAAATCAGTCTTGTATTTTTTAGGCTTCAGAATGAACTTTACCACAGTCGTTCTAAGTCAGTATGCGTAGAAGCTTCCGTTAGCTATAAATAATGCTTTTTTGAATCGTGTTAGAATTTATAGTGAATACAGATATTCTGTTGATAAAATGATCTGCAGTCTCTTATTTAGGTAATTAGTTACACTGTAAAACCATAATTTATTTTAATTAATGTCTGTTGCAATTTCAAAGAAAATTCTGCATGACAAATATTTATTTTTGGTTTTTGTTGCCCAGATTTTTGTTTTTGGAAATCAGACCTTTCCCACCTCATGACTGTCTGGTAGTGCAAGTATGTTTGAAGTGCACCTCAACCTGATACATTCCTGTATCAGAATTGATTATGTATGGTTCATGTCATCCTAAAATTGATAGAAAACCTAATACTCTTCTAGAACAACTGATGATATAAATAAATAGACAAATACAGTTTCTTATTAGCTAATTGAAAGAAAAAGGAAATATAATAATCTGAGGAGCATACGTATGTAGTGGGTTTATTGTTCTATACCTCATACAATAAAATGTTCCTGTTTTAACAGCGTTATATTATATTAGTATTAATACTAGTTTTCAATTATTAGTATTCTCTTTGCTGTTGCATTTCCTAGTATACGCTTATATATATAGTTTTGTGTAACAATATAAATCTGTACTATATTTACTTACCTACTTTTTCCACATGCTAAAAGATTATATTATATTCCCAGGCATTTAAAAGCAATCCAGAGTATTCTAAGTTATAGAATTAGTGAGTTTTTCTTAATGATTCTCTTTTTTTCAAACATCCATCATAGCCCAGTGCTTACCTATAATATATTTACAGCCTTGGCACCCCTCCCCACAAACTGATTATTTATCCCAACCCTCTCTGTCTCTCTGATTTTGATATGTGGCCGGTGCAATATCAATGAGTATTGACTTGTTATGACCCTATGATAAAAGGAATCCAGTTGAAAAGGAAGCTATTAAGCACAAATAGATAAATATTTGGCAAGAAGTAGAATTTTGCGTGGGGATAACCAAGGAACACCCATGTTAGACAGTCTGTTAAGGTGGAATTATAGATTCATGAAGGGAAAACAGTGGTGGGCCGGCAGTGTTAATGAAGGCCTTTTTGAATGGAATAAGATAAGTGCATTTATGTCCCTAATCATTAGAAAAGAAGTGAGGATTAATTAAGGATCCTGGGTTCGCACTTCATTATGACTAGCAACGTTTAAATATCCGGTTTCTAAAGTTTATAAAATGCAGCTGTATAATTGTGGGATCGTGAAAAGGTGAGTGTACGACTCTGACATTAGCTGGCTTCTGAATTTGGGTACGTGGTCTCACTGAAATTTTTCCTCTAAAGGTCAAGGATGGTGCTATGTAACTAATTCCCAGTTGGAGGTTCCTGCAACTCTAGGAATGTTTGTGCGTAATAACCAAAGTTTAGAAACACTATTAAGTATTTGAGAAGACTAGTGTGAAAAGTTTATCTATTAAACTCAGACTTCTCAAAATGATAAATTGCTTTTGGTTAATATCATATCACCTCCCTGTAGTAGTAATGCTGATTATTGCATGCTATCAGAAGCTCTGGGAAGCTGATATTATTTTAATCTAAAAATAAAAATATGAATTTATCTTTTGATTGAAAGTCCAGACTCTCCAAATATGTGTTGCACATGGAGAGAACGGGGAAGAAATAGGAAGGGAATAGAAATAGCTGTCTAACCTGTGCTTCTGAATATCACCATGTCCTCGTGGTCCCTTGGTGCCTCAGTATAGCCCCCTCTTTCCAAACCTCCTCTAGCTAGTCTTTCTTAAAGAATATATTATTATTATACTAGACCTGCATTTAATTTGCTACCCGTACTGAAATACAAAATCTGTAAAAATCCATCTTGTTAAGAGATCATGGTATGTTACAATATAATACGTTAAAAAGTATTGTGAGGAATTGCCTCAAATTGAATTTTATTAAATCCTTTCAATACAAAATTCTAAATGTCTTAGAAACCGTTCTTATGTTGACGTCCAAAGTAAAAATGTCATTATTTAGGTGACTATCAGAGATCTATTATTAGATAATAATTTTTATATTGTTAAAAGATTGTCATTTTGGTCTTAAAAGCCCAAAGACTTTTAACTACACTAGTTGCAGCTTATATGATAATACCGATTATAGACTTTATGTGAATGGGAGTAAAAATATATTTTTATCTGATCTTCTCTTAATTTAGTTTTAATTATTACATTAACACTAATATTCCCCCAAAAGACCCCCGTTTTTGTGTGTGTATGTTGTTGTTTTTTTTATTGTGGATATGTTACTTTCTCCAAAACCTTAACATGGGCAATTCTTATAAACCTACGAGGACCGTTGAGATGAGTAGAATTGAAATTTATCTGTAACAGTAAATGAAAATTATTTAAAGGATTTTTCTTTTTAGTATTTCTGAAATTTTGTTACAGGAATTGTATTATTTGCTTTTCTAAATATAAGGACAATTTTATAATGAAAATAATCTTTGGACATTTTTTAATATATTGTGTTAATTCAACCAGGCAAATTGCTTTTTTTCTAAAAAAAAAAAAAAAGAAAATACAGTTTGCATCTTTGGTTTCTCAGAAACACACAAATGTCTTTTCTGTGGTATAATTTTAATATTGGAAGGCTACTATTAATGTTAGGCCTTTTGAATAACACCTCTGAGAATTCAGCAGCTCCAAAAGACAGAAATGAAACTACAAAGGACTTCAGTTTTAATATTACCTCTTCATATAGAACTTCCGAACTCACTTCTATGACAACTCTATAAAGAACGTGAAGGGGGGTGAGGGGGGCGTGCTAATGAATGGAAACAATAAATGGATATTGACCAGTGGAAATATTGTGATTCAATAGAAGGCTGAGTTCATTGTTATAGCTTGTGCTTATTACAAAGGTATGAAAACATGAAGTTTTAATGGCACATTCAATTTTAGGTAAATAGTTATTACATTACAAAAACATTTGTTAGCAAGTATATGTTAAAAGGAGTCACTTAAAATATTGTTGTGCTTCATAACCTTAATTTTTGAAGTGAAATTTGAGTTTTTAATAAGTATTATAACTCTCCTGCACATTTTACAATCACACAGCTAAAATCCAGATTTGGATTTAGCATTATGAACCTGAAGCTTGAGTTAAAATTAGTAAACTAAAACTTAAACTAATAAATTACAAGTAGGATTTTCTAGAGACAAGTATATTATTTCCTTCTATATTTGTTCTATGGGCAGAAAATCAAAGAAGATGTGGCAGTAAGTTACACTTTACTAAGGAAATGTCATGGGTTAATAGTAAAATATTCTCTGAGATGCTATATTTGTGATAATTGGGTTCTCATCAAAATATTATTAAGGTAATGAAGCAGTTTTGCAAAATGAGTTACTCTGCTTCCTTAGACACCCAACTTGTGCAGAGCGAGGGGAGTGGGCAGCGTGAAGAGAGTAATGAGAAATGTTATTTTGGGTGGAGAAATTAAAATTAATTATTAGGTACTGTATGAAACTTCTTGTACAATATGTCAGCACTTTAAGAATCTCATTTTATATAATGTTTAAACATTTTAATACCTAGATAAAGCTTTCTACAAAACATGTTCTTTTGTAAAAAAAAAGCAAGTTTTTAACCATTAATAATTAATGCGCTCATATAAATGTCGACCTTTGTAGCTAATGGCCTCACTGTTAACTTATTTTTGCTTATAATTTTATCTTATTGAATTGCAAAATATAATGATCACTGTTGCTTTAATTTTTTCACGTTATCCTCTAAGACTAAAAATTAAGATATGCTTTTTACTGAGTAATGCTTGGTATGTATTTCTAATGCTTCTAGTTGTCTAAATCACACACACACACACACACACACACACATTATGTACATGGCAATGTTAAGAATCACCAAGATTATCTTGGTTCCTGGGAATGGTTTTTGGTAAAGAAGGACGATTGTATTATTTCATAATTATAACACAAACAAATAACTAAACTTTAGGAAAGGAGAGGAAACATCTAACATTTTGGAGTTGGCCATTTTACAAAAATAGTATTCAACCCTCACATTAGAAGATATATATTATTTCCCTTTTAGCTATATAAGGGATCTGAGGAGAGTTGAGTGCGGTGCCTCAAAGCTTATAATTAGTAAAAGGAAGGGCTGTGATTTTAAATGAAGTCTGTCAGATTCCAAAGCTCAAGCTCTTTGAGTCATACAAGGAACATCAGAAATAGCCTGAGTTTCAGCAGGTTTGATTCAATAGCTGACTACCGGTAGTATAACCTGTGAATGTTTGTTGTAGGGAGAATATGTTGTATTTTATCTAATATTGTGACACAGTCGATCATTATTTGATGTAACAGAAAGAACAGACCGTGCCAATTAAATTCTCGCCCAGTACTCTCTTACCACTAAGAATATTTATTTTATACTTAGTGAAAGGACTTTTAGAGAAGTCCTTCGATACAGATTTTATTACATCATTCACATATCTACATTGAAAGGAAAGTTGAAGCAAATTAAATTGGCTAAGGTATTACTAAAACTTGTCCACAGAGTCCAACTTTCCATAAATCACTTTTTGATTCAGGTGAAAGTGTTTTGTGCGTTTCACGTAGTATCATTGACTGCAGTAATCAAGTTTGTGTTTTGCAGGCAATGACAACTCTGTCATAACTGCCATCTGGCTAGCAGTGGTTGTGCAGTTTCTCAATTGTGCGACACATCAGATTTCAGAGATATTAAAATGTGAAAACAAAATGTGTCTTATAATCAATAAAATATGGTGGGGCCTACTCAATAA